GATTCACACAGCTGCTGCATTATGATTAGGGTCAAAGTAAGAGGATTAGACAAAGATATTAATGCTCACATTATCACAGATAAGCCACTGTGACACCTGTTTACACACAGCACTCAGTTTTTGTTATACACAGCCTACTTTTACATGCAATCTACGTAAAAGACCCAGAAAATGTTGAACTGTGCACACCTGGCAGCTTTCAGGAACGTTAAAGTGTTGCTACCTGAAGCTAACTGCAGCTACATTAGATTTCATACTCATTTTTATCCCATTATTTACCTAACATTCAGCTAATAACACAACAGTAAAACAACAAAAGATCTGAACTATTACAGGCCGCTTGCTTTTTGCTAACAAGCTAGCTACAGAGGGCCAAGAGAATCGATCATTCCTGAGGTGTTCACCCCGAGGAGGAGTGCGAGCAGACGGGTAGCGTGTTGTTCATCTCACCGCCGACAGCTCCGGATGAAGCCCAATGAGAGTAGCTCCGCTCCGGGATATCTCTCCACGTCCTGTCCGTCTCTTGCTTACACGCCGATAAAAGAGGAAAATCCTCCAGCAACCGTCAGGCAACGACTGCTGCTGCGTGTTCTCGGCGCCCCTTCTTTATTTACCTTCCTCCTCCATGACCCGCAAAGCCATTGACCGAGCGCCTGGAGAGAGACTAGCGACGTAGCGTAGAAGCGTATTCTTCAAACGGTTTACGCAGAATGGTGTCATACAGTAAAAAGAACGTAAGTTTACGTAAAATATGCGGTGAACGGAACAAAGTCCTGAAACGAGCATGATACAAAAACACATGTGGTGTCACTGGATAGCATGAAACTCACTAACAAAGAAAACGTTTTAGATAGATAGATAGATAGATAGATAGATAGATAGATAGATAGATAGATAGATAGATAGATGGATAGATAGATAGATAGATAGATTTACATAATAATAATAATAATAATAATAATAATAATAATAATAATAATAATAATATATTCAATCTATATTTATATTATTTATCTTTAGGACACTCAAAGACGCTTAAAATAAATACATTTAAAAATAAACACACTATATTTGTCTATCATCTATCTTTATATGGGTGTTTTGCATGTTATGTTTATTAATACTATTTTAGGTCACTTATGGTCTTAATGTATTTACCTCAGTAGAGATCAATAAAGTGTATGCTGTTTTATTTTATTCTGTTGTATACAATATTCACAAAGTTTAAGAAAATGTTTTTGCGCATAGGTCAAACCTTCAAACTGCTGTTAAATGTACATGACTTCCAGATCCTCAGACAAAATGCTGCAGAGATCTGTTAAGCTTGGGAAAATATTACAAGACCATTATTTTTCAGCACAAACTGAATCCAAGGAATGTAAAACGAACATGCAAAAAGGAAGCTATATATCAACTCAGTGTCAAAATACTAACAGGTTGTCTGCATGGGCGTAAAGTTATCCCAGATGCAGAGGAAGACTAGATCTTCCATAGCAAATCTACCTTCGAGTGTAAGGAAGCGTGATGTGCCAAAAATGAAAAAAGCCGAGGCTGTGATAAATCTAGAATCTGGGATTGCACCATAATGGATTCAGTCTGCATGTCATGGGTTATTTGAAATTATTTGAAGGTATGACTAAAGCAGATGTATAGTGTTACATTACTGTTTTACTGAATTATTCGGAGGTCAATTAACTAAGTATTCACTTTATATTGCATAATTATTCATTCCCCTTAAAGCTGCAGCAGCAACTTTTATAAACAATGTATTTTTTTTTTACACATTTGTTGAAACTGTCACCAAGTTGTGACAGTATGAGACAGATAATCTGAAAAAAATACAGTTGTTCTGCCTTCTCCCACTAACTGGAAACAGTAAATGAGAGTCTTAGCGCTGTCAATCACCACGTGTGCACGCTGCTAATCCTCCCTCCAGCTTCTTTTCTCATTTTTTTTTACTATACTACTGTGTTTTCCTGTCAGCAGCTTGCCTTGAAAGCTAAGGCTAGTTAGCATAGCCACCGATGATGACAGATGAACCGTTTTCCACCATTAGCACATTCACCAGGATGATTGGCAGCACAAAGACAAGACTGAGCAGTAGCAGGATTTACTTCAATGTTGCCTTTTGAATTATTTTTAGACCCTCCTTAAATAAAAAAGTAAAACTTTCTCATGGAGACGTCATATAGTGTTTTTATTATGAATTTTGCAATGTTTTCTGACACTTTTCAATAACAATTACTCAGCATAATCCATGTCGGCATTGTATCATTAATTACAGGTAATGTTCAAATAGTAACATAGTAATAATATAAGATTTTAACCAATGCAATTTTTATTCCTTCTTAACGTGACACTCGAAAACAACAGGCCTTTTATTTATTTTTTCACTGAGAGCCTTATAGCACTGCACATTAATAGGCTACACAGACAGACAGCAAGAGACACGGAGGGAGAGGTGAGGGGAGAAAGGCTGGGAGGGAGGGGAAGGTGAGGAGAAGCACACAGTTGTACATTCACTGAACCAAAGATGACAGATGGAGCGGGAAGGAAACAGAAAAACAACACCAAAATAAAACAAAAAAACAATTTATTTTTAAACGTGGACAAAAAATAAAATCCCCCGATGAAAGAAAATGAGCAAGACATATTGAAATATCACAACAATGTGCCCTCCGTTTTTTTTTTTTTTGGTGATGCAAATTCTTAAATTACAACAATATTACACACAAATCAGGATACACTCATCAAGCCAAAGATAATCATCCTTATCACTAATACTACTCTTTATTATATCTATCATCATTATACTATTTTCTGATTCTGGAAAGGTGATTCCTTAAATGGAAAAATAAATCATAATCTGCTCCCTCTCAGAAATGTGCAGTAAAAGAGAAAGAGTGAATGCATTGATAAGAACCACAGCAATAACAATAATATCGCAATAGTCATTGTTGTATGTACAGAAAAATTCATTACAATCAATACAATCAAAACTGCCCAAGCTGAGCGGACATTCTGGAAACAGCAGGGGTCGTGGGGGTCATGGATGGTGCTTGTGTGTGTGTGTGTGTGTGTGTTTGCAGTACAGTGTAGCTAGTGAAACAGTGACATGAGAGTCATTTATATGGAGGTCAGAGAGGTCGAGGTGCTGTTTTCTTATTTTGTGGCACAAGCTGCAGCGCTGCAAAGACTCCTGAAACTTTGACGACGTCAATTTTTGCGCGTAGGGGCTTTTATTTTGGAGTATTGCAGCAGGAGTGCTTGTGTTGGATGTTGAGGTCTGCGGTTGGTTATCAGGAGATCAATATAGAATACTGCAAAGTAAACCAGTCTTACAGAGGATCTCAAAGGTGAACATCCCCCCCTATAATTAAAATTATTCTTCACCTCTAAATGTGACATTTATTCTGTAAATTCAACATAGCTGTAGTGATATGGTTTTATCCCTACACCATGAAACAAACACGTCTTTTTTTTTCTTTTTTGCTTCAATTTCAGGCTTTAATGCACATATCCTCAATTACAATTGAGTGGATCTAATTAACCAGAAATAAATAAAAAATAGAACGATGTTTTTATCTCTTAGTTACAGCCACAGTTTGTATTTTATAAGGCAGCTAATTAGTGGCCAGAGTTGGGTAGTAGCTAGTTACATTTACTTGAGTAACTTTTTGTAAAAAAAATATTTTTAGGAGTATTTTTACTCTTCTTTGCTCTTACTTGAGTAAAATGTTTGGATATCCTACCCAATCTGAGTAAATTCACTGAATGAAGAACAAACTTTCTTTCAAAATTTAACCAGACACAGACCTGCAGTTTTTGTTAAACTTTATATTTAATTTAATAAATTTGGAAATTATTATGTTTTGTGCCTGATTTTGTTATTTTGTAACCATATTCATATGAATTATTTTCATTTTGATCTTTAAAATACCAACATTTCCACATAACTTTATATTTTGGTTTATTTGCTGATGTAAGTTTTAGATATTAAATCCAAAAATGATACGGCGTACTTGAGTAGCATTTTTACCAAATAATTTTTTACTCTCGAGTAGCTTCTTGCTACTTTTTTACTTTTACTGAAGTAAATATGTTGAAGTGATGCTACTCCTACTTGAGTACAGTTTTTGAGTACTGCACCCACCTCAGGTGGAGGAGGCATAATGCTGTGGGGTTTTCATCTAGAGAAACTGATCATTTTTTTAAACTCTTCCAAATGGCAGTCAGCTCTGATCCAAAATCTTCATGTGTGATGAAAAGCTGAAGATCAAGATGGATTTTATTTCTCAGCATCACAGAAAGCACTGAAATTAAAAGATGCTTCTAGATACCAGGAACCGGAGTTATGCAGTGAGATTATTGTGTTTTTCTTGTTTGTTTTTCAGTTGAATTTTACAGCTTAAATGTCTTTGGTAGCAGAAAAGGTTTTAAAATGTGTTTTAACAGGGGTGTGTGCACATTACAGATCCACTTTATTACATAAATGGAAATAAAACTGCAAAGACATTGAGGTGTTTCCTTTGAACAGCTAAGTGCGTCTAATCTCACTGCCTCCACTCTGTGGTTAGAGGAGATGACACAGAGAGGGAGAGGGGAGCTTGTGCACAGACTTTCTGAGTCTAACAAAGAGGTGTCGGGATCAAGGATTGCGTCTTTGCTTAAGGATCGACTCAAAGCCTTGTTCCAGCTGACATTTTGCTTCATTCTTCTCATTAACAGAGGATAGAATACAATCAATATTTTTCTTGATGATTAAGCAGTCCCTTTCAACCAGCGTTACACTATACAGACACCGATTTCTGCTTTAGAACGAGTGCACCACAAACGATTCTGGTGGAGGGGGTTTGTTAGGCGGGTAAATTACATTAACTGTACACATTGTGCCATTGAACATTTAAGTGGAGAACAACAGCCTGTTGTCGGCTATAGGTCACATATGGCGTTTGAGCGTCGAGAGTATTACGGTGATTGTGTTGTGCGAAGTGTTTGTAAGCATACATTCCTTATACTAGTGGCGTCAGTTTGATATTAAAAGTGTCGGAGTGTGTGACTGGGGAGCTGATTTATGGAGAGATGCGGCTCAGTAGCGGCGGGCGTTTCCGTCTCTGCCCTCCTTCTTGATGATGATACGCTGGTCGTCGCTTGCGTCGTCAGGTGACTCCGCTGCCTCCTCTTCCTCCTCCTCTCCATCGCCCTCCGTGTCGGCGGAAATGCCCATACGGGATTCGTAGGACTGGGAGAAAACAGGAGGGCGGAGTGGATAAGTGAAAAAATAAATCGATTTATCCAGACATCATTCAGCGGGAGATGACCTCTACCTCCATTGGGTTGACGATGATGGTGAGCGCCGAGTCGTCCCATTGGTTGCTGCCCTCTTTAGCCCCGCCCCTGGAGCCTTCACCTCGGCGATGGATCGAGCGAATTCGGAAGACACCGAGGATCACCATGACAACCAGGAAGCCCACACAGACCATAATGATGACGGTGGCTGCTCCTGGAACCACTAAAAGAAATGAAGAAAAAGTGTGACAATTCCCCATGTTTTTTGTAAAAGTTTTGAACATGAGCATCTGAAAAGTGTGGTGTGCATTTAAATTTAAACCCTTTATTCTGATAACTCTATTTAAAAAAAAAAAAGGACAATGCAGAGAATGGTCCTCTGTAGTCCTCTACTTGGTAGATGAGTAAAGGTTTGTTGAGAAAACTGATGTTTTGAGACGTCCTCGATCCAATCTTACTGAGTTGAGTTTTGTGTGAAAGAGAATTGGCAAAAAAGAATAAGTTGTATTTAAGTAGACGTGCCAACTTCTTAGAGACAAACAGTGAATCTGAAGGCGATGAATGGAAATGCCACACTGCAACCTCCTCACTGTCTAAAGAGCCAATTTTACCCTCAGTCCAGCTAATTAAACACATTTCAGGCTGCAAATGTTACTTGGCCTTTTCAATAAAGAAAAAGGACATCTTGGTGGACATCTACATTAAAAATGTCTTTTTTAAAAAGAACCATCAATTTATTCCTATTTTTAGTTGTGTATTTTTTTTTATTTATTTCTTACACTAGTGGACTTTATTTTACAGTAATACAACAGAAAGAAGGAAGAGGGAAAAACACGCGGCAAAGGGAAACAAACTTGGCACAGCAGCCACTGCGATATGCGATGTTGTTATTTTTAGGTTTTTAAGTAAAGAAAAACATAAAGCTTCTGCAAAAAGAGGCTGAATAAATTTCCTTCTGTGGAATGTTGATATTGATGGAAAATTATGTAAATAATTGGGAAGAAAAATAGATTTTAAAAAGCATTACTGGCACTTTTACTGTCATTTATTGGCGGAAATTCAATAGATCTATGTCTTGAAAAACAAAAACAGCTCAAACCCACATTTGTTGTTTTATTTATATTAAAAATGGTTGTTTCTTAATAATGTTTAGCTAGCGCTATTAAGACCCTATGCAGAAGATGCGAAGAGCCACTCGAGGCTCTGGAGCCACAAGTTGGATACCCTTCGTTTATCACAACATTAAAATACATCAGAGTTTGTGGTTATGATGTGAGAAAATGTTCCTGGGGTTTTAATTTTCTGGCTGCAGCTGATCTTTATAAGATACACGTGTCAACGTATCATCAGTACAATCAACAAAAGACCTGAAAAGTTGTCCTGCTGGTTTTAATATTCACATTAACTGAATGAAATTTACCTCAATGGATCTACATTATTAAGATTTCAGCTCAAACACATGAAGGTCCTGCCAACTCTGTCACAAAATGAGGATTTCTATTCCTGTGAAATTCTCCTCCAGATCCATTAATATCCTGATGACTCTTGGAGCCGTTTATGGAAATGCATTAAGTTTAAAGATGTATTTATAGACCAGTTCATTAGATGGCCATAAACTAGCTGAGAGGTCATTAAACAGGAGACAACTTGTTCTTTTATCTCTATTCAGGACAGATTAAATGCTTTTGTTTCTTGATTCAATCTTAATGAAAGTCAAAGATGTTTATTGATATGTTGCTACCATCAGCCTGTTCCTCTGAGACAACCTTTATTGAAAAGAGGCAAAACTTTCCATCTAGACAACATGAAATGTGACTGAAAAGTTAAAGTGATAATTATTTAGCTGCATCACTGAAAGACAAGACAGAGAAACAGAGTAGAAATTTAGCAACTTTGTTATAACAACATTAACATTTTTAAGTATTGAGAAAAACGTTAATTTTAAATCTTTGGTTTCACATTATTGGTTGTTCACTCTGAGTGTCTCTTTTGTCTACACATACAAATGAAAGACAAACCAACTCCTGCAGCATTCCTCCTCTGCTCCTCATTTTGATTTGCAGGTCCTTGACAAAAGCTTAGATCTGGTCACTATTTTACATTTTTAGAAAGTCCAGTGATTCTTTGCTCATGTTGCTATGTGTTGGTTCTGCAGCTTTTGAAAGCTGAACCAGCCATTTGCCTCAGTCAGGATGCTCGATCCGTCATCAATAAGCCTTCCTGCCACCCTGCCTGCTCACCTGTTTGACCCAAACCCTCTGTCAACCTCCAGGATTTAGCTGCATGTCAGTTTGGGTTCCACTGTTTGGTATTCAGCTCAGAAAGCCTGGCTGCCCTCTGCAGGCCTCTGCGATCCACTCAATGTCACACCTGGGAGTCGTGCATGGAGGCCCAGCCTAATGTCAAATCCTTCTGGCTGATTTTCAGAGTATTATTGTGTCAGTCATTTAAAACAATAACAAGATCAACCGCCACTTTTTCATGAATGCTGAACCAGCCGCCTGGGACTGTAACTAAAGCAACCTCTAATTTTAAAATTTACGCTACACATTTCTTATTAGCATTTTCTGTTTAGTAAAGCTTGTATTTTTTTGTTGATATTTAAAAGAGACCTATTATGCAAAATTCATATTTTGCACGCTTTTGTACTTTCATTTGGGTCTCAATTGCCTCTAAAAACAGCTCAAGCACTTGGAAAGAACCCAGCTGGTTACTGGCAATAAGTTACTGTTTTTTGGTGTCTGGAAAATTACTTGTTTTAAAAACCTTCAGAATGTAATGCATCAAATCAGCAGGCACGTGCCATTGCCTAGCAACACCAGTAATGTTAGGTAGCAACCCCACCTAACATTTGGTCAGCTGGTTTTATCGCTACACGCGCTGTACAATGGCTGCTGGAAAATACAAGTGTTTTGATTTCTAATTACCATCCAGAAACCATTTGCTGCATTCTTGTTTGTTGTGCAGAAAGCTCCACGTCTGCTTTTCAAAGATGTACGTGTGTATAATTGTGCCTCTGTTTGCAGCCATTTTCATGTGCAAGAGTTTGGAAGTGTGGCCAGCAGCAACTTATTTCAATTTAAAGTGACAAGACACCATAAACAGCTCATTCTGAAAAGAGCTTACCATATCCAGAACTGACCAGACTAAAATCTTATCATCAAAGAATAATTTTGTGTAAAAAAGGTAATGAATGTGTTTTGTATAGCTCATAGACATGTACTAAACTATTCAAGGAAGTATAATAGGTCACTTTAATAAGTTTCCTGCTACATCATGGAAGGCTTAAACTTTTAGGGTAAGAAATGAGTTGTCAATCAGGCGGTTAAGGGAATATTACCTGAGTTGCGGTGTGGGTTCGGCAAGGTGTGTCCACTCAGCTCTCCAGAATGATGAGATGGATGGAGGAACTGCTGCTGTGAGGCCAGCAGGTGGGAAGGGTGGTATAGGCTTTCCAAAGAGTGGAGGAAGTTCACCTGAAAGTAGTGAAAGCGTTAGAAACTTTAAAACTTAGAAAGTTAATATAGAACATTTATTATAAGACTATCATCAGCTTTCCAGCTTTTGTTGGAAAAATGCTTCGAAAGGTCAAGGCTAAGATCTGAAAACTGTTATGGATGTTGTTTGAGCGATGTTTCTCGTTACCTCCAGAGTCAACTCATTGCTCGTGTATCTGCCATTCATCTCGGAGCACGACAGGCGGAACCGCCTCTCGAAGCGTCCAGAGCCTCTGGCCAGGCGGTACCGGACTGAGCGGAGGACGTCCTCGTACACAGAGATGGATTCAGCACCTGGAGGAGACGGACAGGAAAGAAGATCCCAGAGGCAAGAAAAGGAAGACAGGGAGACAATGTTTGGACAGTCACAACAGAAACAAATATCCTGCCCTGCAAAAACATTCATACACCCTGAACTTTTTCACTTTCTACTGGGATTTTACATAGCAGAGCAACACAAAGCAGCAAATCCAGGCCTTGGAAAATGAATGAAAGTAAAGGTGATTTTCCCTGCAAAAATGTCAGTGTGGTGTGCATATGTATTCAGCACATTTTGCTTCCGAATATAAACGAATACAGTCAAATGCCTTCAGAAATCACCTAATTAGTGAAACATGAACATGAAACAATGTGTGCTAGAAAACTAACATAGAGCACAACGATGTGTTAAAATGGGCTAGAACTGGGCAAGATGGCTGAAAAACAGGTCAAGATGTAAGCCTTTCATTTCAGTTGATACTGATAATTATTGATTTGTTTATTGTTGTAAGTATCTGGAATACAGCCAAACTGGCAGTGTGACCTTTCCTGCTTTATGCACAGTTTTCATTACACACTTCTCACCGCACAGCATTCTGGGAGATGTAGGCAGAGGGAAGAGTTTAACCGCTCAACCTCTCACAGCCATCTAAGCGGGGTTAGTGGCATCTACTAACTCGCTCACTCTCTGGTTGCCTAGCAACTCGCTCACTCTTATGTTGCCTAGCAACTCAGTCTTTGGTTGTCTAGCTACGACTTGTTGACCAACTGGCACAGCGGCAGTTTAAGGTTTCACCACTGTGCCTCGCAACAGCTTAAAAATAAAAATAATAAAAATAATGATAAAAAGACAACTTTGTAGAGTAAAAACTTTGAATAAAACAGGAAAGTTTGGCTGTATTTCAGTTATTTAAAACAAAAAACTAATCATTAATTACCTCTAGCCAGTTATCAACTTCGACTGGTATGAAGTGTTTACATCATGACACGTTTTTCAGCCACATCGTCCAGCCTTGCTATATGCTTCGTAAAAATGATCTTCTTTGTGAATCAATACAGGTGAAATAATATTAAAAATGTACTGCAGAGCAGCGTTACCTGTAATTGCGATGTAAGCGGTGGTATTGATGATATCCAGTCCTCGCTCTCGCACAACGTCCATGTCTACCAGAAGCTCCTCCCGCTCTGGATTCAGCTCCTCCCCCAGCGGCTGCACCTCACATCCGTCCAAAGTGTGAGCCACGGCATCCGACATCAGAGCTAAGAGGCAATGCAGAATATTAATAAAACAAACATAAACGTTTCTGAGAAGAAATTAAACGGCGTTTCAAGAATTATAAACATTAAATCTCCATATCTTTGCTCACCTCCGCCCTCCATGCCCTGTGCAGCCGTGTTGACAGCATGCGACAGTGAGCAGACGATCCGCAGCTCCGGGAAGAGGGGGACGCCGCGGGGTCCTTCAAACTCAGGGGCCGGACGGGCCAGATGTGGGCCGACCCCAGACAGAGAGATCTGAGGGGCGTCGGGCTGGAGAACCACCAGGTATCCCTCCAGCTGTTTCAGTGACAGGCAGCTTTCCTCATTGAAACACCTGCAAGAGAGATACAAACAAGAAAGCAGATTTATTTTACAGCCTTTGAATGGAGTATTCAATCAACCATTTAAATTTATTGAAACGTGTTAAACACTAAAATAACACATTTCACTGCGGTAGAACAATTCAGTGTTTGTGTTCTACCATCACAAATGCAAATTTGGACTTTAACAGGAAACATAAGATCACATGTTACCAGAGGAGGGTATAGTACCCAAAACATGTCCTTATGTAAGAGCAGCACTACTTCAACATGTTTTTGCTTAAGTAAAAGTAAAAAGCAGCCATCCAAAAATTACTGGAGTAAAAAGTACTTAGTAAAAAGTCTACTCAAGTACTGAGTAACTGATCAAACATTTAATATTTAAAAATTACATCATCAGGTAGATCAGAATATAAAATTACATGGATATTTTGGTATTTTAAAGGTGAAAATGAAAATAATTTATATAAATAACAAAATCAGGAAAAAGAAACATTTTTCCAAATTATTGTTTTTAAATTTAAGAAACTTTAACAAAAACTGCAGGTGTTTTGTGTCTGGTGAAGTTTTGATTAAAACAAGTTGTTTGTTCTTCATTCAGCAAAGTTACTCACAGAGTGTAGAGTAATCAGCAATTTTACTGAAGTGAGAGTAGAAATACTTCTCCTAAGTCCAAGTAAAAAGTAAAGTGTAGTAAATATTCTCTGTTGCTGATGGATTAGCTTGGCAGCTCTGAAACATTTTTCTTATTTTGTGTGTTTTTATCCTCTCTTAGATTAAAGTAGGTCATATAAATCTGAATTAGACCGTTGTAATAATCCACATCTTTACAT